CCCCTTCCCTATCGGCCCGGTCTCTCAAATGCAGGAATTATAGCCACGGCACGCCAGAGTTCCTAGACCTCTAAGCTTGAAACTCACCCATACCTCAGGAGATGGAGAGGGCCATGGAAGCAGGTGACGACTTGTCAGCCGATCAGGCTCCCTGGACGTTTACCTGTCTTTCCCAAGATTAGTCCCCAACTGGTGCCCACAATGCACGAGAGTGTAATGCAGATCACGCACGCTTCAGAAAACTGCAGGACCTTTGATGCCTCCTTTGCAACTTTTGCAGGAAACTTCTCCTCCGGCGGACGTTCCCGCTCCTCCTCCACCTGAAGTTGCTCCCAGCTAGACTCACAGGCCTGCTTGCCAGAAGTTTCTCATTCTCAAACGCGCAGGGAGACAAAGCTGTTCTGATTCTCCATTTAGCCATGTTCGGCCATCCTTGTGCTGGGAACGTTCTTTTCGGAGAGCTGGCATCTCGTAGATTTTGTTTGTGCTGTGTGTTAGTATGTAGCAGTAGCAGCCAATGGCAATGAGCTCCTACTTTTAAACTTGCTATCGCTTTCCCTTGATATGCCGCCCCTTTGCTGCTGTTGGCTATTGTCCCAGCTTAGCCTGAGTGCATGACGGACAGGTTGGGATGGTCAGCAGATGTCAGCAGATGCCCGTGCAGTGTTCTAGTCATAGCAGTGTTATAGAAGTGCAGAGCCGCTGCAGCAGACAGCTTTTCTCATGCTTAACCTTAGCAATCTCTGACCTCACCAGAATCCAGTAGAAGAAGTTGATGAACGGTAGAAGGAAGGAGTTGATGAGCCGGAACCGCATCACGGCACTTGCAGTAGACATATGTGCGGCATGATGCTGTCGGTCATGCGATATTAACACCCACAGGCTCCCATTACCAGATTAGATGTCTGATGGTATCCATATTTCTCTTCTGGAGAAGTGTCTTGCGGGATTGTGTTGTTTATGCCTTGCAAAATCCGCACTGCCAAGCTTCAGTCATGGGACATGTCTCAAAGGACTTGTATCAAGATCATCATGAGCTGACTCGCAGAGATGTCAGGCTGAAGTGCACCACCGCGCCACAGCGCTTGCTGCAGCAGATGAAGTAGCAAGTGAGCAGGATATGTATCCTTTGTTTGTTTTGTAGCATCAGGCTTGTGGAATGATACTAGGTGAGATGCCTTTGCCACAGCATGAGCGGGGTGCGTCAGGGGTCGTTGGACATGTTTCACCTCTAGCTTGACTGGCCGCTATGAACCAGTGGCGGCTGCAAGCGTGCACGAAAAGAGTAGGATAGACTTCGCCAAAGATTCCTGAAGGTCAATAAGACTCCGTGTATCCTAGAGCTCCATGCTTTCTTCTGTTTGCTGTTCAGCCAGCTTTGGGGAAGCCCGGCGCACCATGATTTCCGGTCACCCTTCCATACGCAGACTTGTCAACCACTGCGTGACCCCGCCACGAAATAGCAGAAGAGCAGCTGGGACAGGATCTTAAGAAGGACGCTTCGGCGTTCTAGTGCCCTTCGAAATGGCGGCCTTATACTCGGGAAGGCCAACAACGGCCCACCCCTCAGCGGCTGGGCCTGGATGTGGAAGGAGCATCCGAGGCAACTCTGACGTGGCAAGGTGAGGGTCGTGCATGGCCCTGTCTATGGCCACCCTGCCAGCATGGCCGCTCCAAGCCAAGTCAAGGTGATCCGGCCTCAGGCCGCAGCCTCACAGCTTCAAGACTTGACAGCCAATTATGCAGCTGCGAGCATCTCTCACTCGAGGGCCAGTGGCCGCAGTACGCTTTTCAGCCTGCTGTCCCAGCGAGGACATGTGGCCTGCGGCAAGTATCTTCAAGATGGAACCTCGTACTTCAGAGATTCAGAACCATTCTTTCGACACGCAACCTCAGAGTTGTTGATTTGAGATACAGCCCACAGAGTGCTTCCGTTACAGTAACAAAGAAGTCTCGGGCCAGGACGCAAGCTTCTTATCCCATGACAGTCTGGAAGGCTGTACCAGGTGGGACAAGCTTCAGCGAATTATCTAATGAGGCTTGAAGCAGGACGCCAAGTCGAAGGTGAGGCAGGTGCCAGGATGGGTTTGCAGGTGGTGTGCAGCTGCCCAACGCCAACAAGCGAGTCTTCACCAACGCCAAGGTGGCAGCAGGAATCCAAAATGAGAGCTGCCGCTGCCGCTGCCGCTGCTGCTGCTGTTGTTGCTGTTCGGCTTTTGCAGTCCTTGATGATGGCCTACAACTTCAAGGGCGACTTCCGGATCAATGGCAGGCCTGACAAGAGCTCGCAGGTTTGCACTTGCCTATGGGTCTCAACGTCTGCTAGCAACGCAGCAGGCCGCTGATCCTGGCAGTTGACCCTGTGGATTCGGAGAGGCCAGAAAGCTTCTAACAGGTCACTCAATCTCACTCCTTCTCAGCCTTGGGTGCTCAGAAGCGATATTCTAGACTGTAGTGTCAGTCAGAACAGAAAAGTTAGGTTTGTGTCATGTGACTGGAGGTTTTAAATTTCATCTTTTCTTTTTTTTCAGGCTCCTGGTTGTAAATCCCGCTACCCATTTCATTTTCCACATTTTTTCGTTTGCTTCTCCATGTGGGGGTCTTACCCCTAAACACTGAGGCCCAATACATCCCTATAAAATCCTTATCTAACCCTAACCTACATAATCCCTATTGCCCTCTATAACCGCATATATCTCTATATGGTAATTTTTTTTTAGTAGGGGAACGCCAACATTATATGTAGACCCCTGTAGGGGCCCCCAAAATGATACTCTAAACCCCTAAGCCCTACACCCCCAAACCCTCAAACAAAACCCTAAATCCCTAAACCCTAAATCCCTCAACCCTAAACCCCTAAACCTAAATCCCTAAACC